CTCATCTTGCACACTTTGTTTTCAGGCAGAGGGCCAATACTGGGCCTTCTGATCAAGGCCAGAGGGCAGTGGCCAGGAAGCAACTTTCTGCCAGTCAGCAGCAGTAGTCCATTCTCCTGGACTCTTCCTCTACTATGTTACCTTTGTTGGGAGAAAAGTTTCTGCAGGCATTCCTGAATCTGCAGCTTGCAGGCATTCCTCTGTGGAGCATGATGGAAAGAACACTACTGTCAAACACTTCCCCTGCCAGCCAGGTGTCCATGCCTTGCTGGGCTTCCTCCACAGGGAAGAAGGGAAGCCAGAAAGGATAGGGCATGCAGGATACCTAGAGTGTCCCCACTGACTAGGCCCTTGCGCCTTCTTCCCGCTGCCTACACCCTGGAGGATAGCAGATACCCTGGAGGCACCTCTCCTAACGGCCCCATCTTAGCCCTCCTGGTAAAGCCAGTTCTGGAGCTCAGGACACAGGCCTCCAAAGGCAATACCTGCTCATTAATCCAAGCCCCTCCTTTCAGGAGCCTGCCCTGGCTTTGGGTAGTGGGGGATAAAGCAAGCACCTCCCTTCCTGGCCCTGTGGTGAGAGGCTCTGAGGAGTGTGGGGCAGGTAGAGACAGGCCCTTCGCAGCCATCAGAAAGACCTGTGTAAAGGGGTTGGGAAGTGTGGGGGGAAAGCTAAAGATCTAGAAAATTTGTCAGTAAAAGGGGATTTTTTTTTTTTCCTGGCACACTGGGCATTCCACTTGTTTCTAAATATTTTTATTATTTGAGAAAACTTGGGAAGCATTTAGTTTATGCAAATTTTAGTATTTCATTATGAACATGGCCTTTCCAAACACATCCTCAAAAGATTTTTAAAAACCATGCAATGGGACAGGGAGCCTGATTCACCAAAATGGTTCAGTTAAGACAAATATCTTGAATCTACAAGTGTATGTCCATTCACAAAGCCAGAAGAAAGCAAAGCAAAAGAACATTGAGAAAATGTGAGAATGCTGCTGTGGCTGATTCACACTGCTGCAGATCCCTGGGAGCCAAAATTCAAAGGCAGAAATGTCTGAGGTGACAGCACTGCCACTGCCACTGACTGAATTACAGATACATCACATTCAGGGCTTGCTGCTAGAATGGGCTTACACTGGCAATAAAAGGATCAACTGGGGTCTATGAGAAGGGAAAGTTAAATTCCAGTCCTGACTGCCTCTAATATTCTCTGCAGCTTTGCTGAGTCACTTAATCTCTTGAGACTGTATATGGCATTTGTAGGGGGAGGGGTGTGGCTAGAGTCCCTTTCAGCTCTGTGATTCATGGGTTCTAATTAAGAATGGCTAGAGCATAGAACCTCTTCCAGTGTTCGTTCATTCATTCAACAAAGCTTACATGAGCCACTGCTTTATGCCAAAGCACCATACTGGTTTTCCTGACCTGGAGAGCTCAGAGGCTCCTGGGGTTAGCAGAAGTGACTCTGCTGGAATAGAGGGCATAGGGCACACTACTAACCCAGGACCATGGTTACCTGAGCACTTGCATCTGCAACCAGGCTGCTTCTTATGGCTAATAGATTCCCCTCAGTACATACTATTACAAAAACAGATTCAAATTTGCAGATACTCTTATCACATTACAAAACCATGCAACATGGCTGTTTACACAGACCAATAGTTTCCAGAAGTCCTTGAAGAAAAAAGGAATCAAAGAATCAACAATTACAGATTATCATACTCAGGAATTGAAATCTATTAGAAGTGGTAAAGAAGCAGTGATGTGCTAGAGGGATGCAGCAGGTGGATGGTGGTGTGAGCACCAGCTGTCCAGTCTCTGGAAACTGGAGTCAATCTAGATGCTTATCGATCCCGTGCTCTCCTGGCTTCGGGTCTGGGTTTGATTCTCCAGGATGGCATTTAGAGAAACTGACAGTTACAGAGCCAGAGGAGGTGGTTTGTTTTGTTTTCAGTTTCTTTTATGCATTGACTGTTATCTCTTTGTGCTAGATACTGTAGCAGAAATCTGGAAAAGGCATGATTTTTCTTGATTTGTGACATTGTTGATAGTTTCTTTGAGAATTTCCACCTGCTTCCTAACAAGTGGCAGAAACTTAGAAATGTTGTATTTCTTAAAGAGAATAATTGTAATTATTATCTGAGTAAATTATTATTTCAAATTTAATGTAATAAACTATGTGCTGCCCCATTAGCTCCTTCACACCTTTGTATTTTCCTTCCCTCTAAACATACCATTTCTCAAATTTAGAAGTAAGAGGAAAGAAAAAGAATTATTCATATCTCTTCATTGCCTTGGAATTTGTGGGAGAAAATGTTCAAATATACAAGTTTTAAGTACTCTTCACAGATCTTTGGATTCTATATTAGTCTTTAATTTTGTATTTTTAACTCTTACTTATTTTTAGTTTTGTATTTTATAAATAGAAAAACATTCACTGAAAATTTTGAACAATGCAAATATATTAAAAGTCAAATAAAAGATCCCTTTCATTTTCCCCAACCCCTGGGATAACTACCACGAACGGTTTGTTGTTAAACTTACAGGTGTATATTTTATTTTTAGCAAATATATGGTTATTCCATCACATTTTTCAGCAACTTGGTATTTTCTCTCAATTATCATTGTTACTGATGCACATTTTTGGTGGCTTCCAGTTTTTTACAGTTATAAATAATACTACAATGAATATTTTTTTAGTCATGGGTGGACACAATATCTTTATTTTATTTTTTTATGTGTTGCTGAGGATTGAAACCAGTACCTCACACATGCTAGGTGAGCACTCTACCTCTGAGCCACAACCCCAGCACTACAATGAATATTTTCTTACAGATATCTTTGGGCCCATATACAATTCTTTCTTTCTTTCTTTCTTTCTTTCTTTCTTTCTTTCTTTCTTTCTTTCATTTTATTTTTTTAGTTGATGAACATAGTACCTTTATTTTATTTATTTTTATGTGGTGCTGAGGATTGAACCCAGTGCCTTACATGTGCTAGGCAAGTGCTCTACCACTGAGCTATAATCGCAGGCCTATAATTCTTTCTTAATGTGGATTCCTAGAAGTGCATTTACTGGATCAAGTGGATGCACATTTTAAATTTTCATCAAAATTGTAAAATGCCCTCCAAGTAATTGTACCAATTCACTGTCCTACCTATTGAATTTTTTTCTCCATATGATGAGGGGATAGTAAGTTCCTTCTATCTTAGTTTGCATTTCTTGGATCATTAGTGAGATAGAGCAGAAGTGAATTGTTTATGATTAAGTTTACTCACAAAGTTTTGTTGAAATACAAAAGGAACCGATAGCCTAATAAGAAAATATTTCATGTAACCACTAATTGAAGTGTTTACATTTAATGCCATGATATCCAACACTGTGCAATTTACCCAAAATGTCTTATGTGTGCAGCTTGAGACCTTTGTACAGGAGGTGATTGGGGTCATGGTTTTGGTGGATTAACCTGCCACCAGTTGGTGGGTAGATAAGAATGAACAATAAATGACACAGGCCAACAGAGAAGAAAATTAATGTTTATTGAGCTCTCAGGGTGAGCAATTCCTATGCCAGAAGCTTTGTTTATTTAATTCCTACAGTCCTGTGAGGTGAAATCATCCCCATTTTATGGATGAGGAAATTGTGGTTCAATAGATTTAAGAGCATACCAAAGGTCACTCGACTGGTGAATCCTATACCTGGGATGTGAACTCAATACCATGAAAACAGAGTCTGGGCTCTTGACCAAATATCACATCACTTCAGTATAGGAAAAAAAATCAAGAAATAGTTTTTCAAAAATAAGTTGTATAAAGAAGAGTCCCTGACTTTCCACCTGGCTGTCAAAAGAAGTGGGCCCTGGAGTAGGCACAACCCACATCCAGGTAGCACCTGCAGTACTGTAGCAGTGACCTAGGCTCTGGGTGAGCATTTGCCAGGTTAACAGTTGAAAGGACGGAAAGAGGTGTTTCAGCCTTAGTCCTGGGTAAGTGCAGGGGTGAGATGAGCAGTGGGTAGAGACTGGAGCTTGGGCCCCTGCACAATTGGACATGAGGAGGAGAAAAGAGCCAGTGAAGAGGACTCAAGGCTCAGAGAGGAGGGCATAATGAAGGCCATGCTTCACCTGGTGCTTTTGAGAGAGCTGACAGGTACACATACCCAGAAGCTCAAGCCACCTTGCCAGCAAAAATCCCCTTTCCTGCTCAGAGACCGGGAAATGAAGGGGCCTTATAGAGTGGCTGCCTCTGGTCCCTGACAACCCAGGACACTGTTCCCCATCCTGCCTTCCCCTCCCCCACTCACCTTTCCATCCCCAACCCCACCAACTTGAGCCCTGCAGTTCTTCACAGCAAAATTGAAGGAGACCCTGAGAAGGAAGCTTAATCCAGCTGTGCCCAGCATCTGCCAGACCTGAGTCCAGCATCTCTGAATCTTGGGGGGCTGGGGGTGAGTCAAGATCCAACTAATATGGGGGAAGTGTAGGGTGGACAAGAGGCTCAACCTGATCCTAGCTGACAGCCCTTCCTCTCCCTCCCCCTCCTTAAAGGAAGGCAGATAAAAAAAAATGTGTTTTTATAAATAGCTCCAGCCCCAGCTGATTTGTAAATTCAGTGGGTTTTTTGTGTCAATGACATCACCCTCCTCCCCATGGCAACCCCCGACGATATCAAAATTGCCAAGCAACGTTGAAGCAGCTCGCGCCCCAAACGAGCAGGTTGCTGCCTGAGGATTTAATGGAGAAATCCCAAAGTGAGCTGGGGTGCACGGTGGAGGAGGGGCACGCTGAGACCCTGGCTGCCGGGCCCTGAGCAAGGCGGGAGCTGCCGGCTGCTTGCCAGGCAGCCTGGACACGCCAGGGCTCCACAGCCAGCTCCTTTTGACAGCAGCTGCTGTCCACAGCAGGTGGGGGAGGGCACTGCTCCCCTCCTGACGTGCCAGGAGCCACAAGCAGCCATTCAGGTGACTAAGCCGGCCCACCGCCACTGAGTCACCCACCCGCCAGAGCTTTTCTTCCTTTCTTTTTGCATTTGATTATTTTGGGAGCTGAAAACTTGGAGCTGCACCTGAGTCCCGCCTCTTCTATCTCTCCCCTCCCTACCTTGGCTTGGAGGAAGATGGGTCTTGCTGTGAATCTGCCACTACTCCCTAAGGATATAGAAGTCATGGTGGGGGCCAGGGGTGCCCGCCAAGAGATTGTAGCTGGCAGAGTGCAATAGCAGACATGGTGATCAGGCTGCCAGTGTGTCCTCTGGAGGTGTCAAGAGAGGAAGGGGAGTCTTGTCCACACCGACTGCAGTTCTCTTGGGCTGGCTTTGAACTCGCCTCATGAGATGTTTCTGTAAATGAATGACTTCTAGGGTAACAGTGGCATTCGGAGAGTGAAGCTGGATTGGCTTAAGCAGGCCTGTGCAGGTAGGTGGCTCTGTGCTGGGTGTGGGCTCATGTGTGTGAGAGAGAATGAGTGCTGTGTGACTGAGTGTGTGTCATCTCCCTGTTGATGACAGAAGCTGTGTCCAGCAAAGAGCTAAGGATGGGGACTTGATAACAGTTTATCGTAACTGATGCTGGGTGGGTTCAGGCCCTAGACGGTGCTGGGAAGAGGGACACCAAGCACATGGCCTGAGCAGGTGAGGAGCAACTGCCAGCTGGTTAGGCCCAGGCCCTCTCTGGATCCACAGAACAGAGACCCAGTAAGATACCAAGGTAGGAAGTGGTCCAGTGGGGCTGGCCAAGGATGGGAGCAAAACCCACCAGGGGCCTGGTTAGTGCACAAGTTCCCTCCTCTTCCTGATAGCCCTGGGCACTAAGGAAACAATTTCCTACCAAGAATCCTGTCACTCTCCCATGTAGGGCTGATCAGCACCTATGTGGCCCCTGCTGATCTCCCAGGCACTTTCAGTGAGAAGGGTGCTGGCCAGGGCACATCTGGGAACCCTGGCACCCACAGGGCATGCCCCAGTGTGTGTCAGGCAGAGGGGCGTGGGTCCCACCTCCCCCACACAGCTGGCAGCCTCTTGGGCACACCGGTGAGTAAGCTGCAGGAGGGAGGGAGGCTGTGTGCCCACAAAGGCAGGATGACACCGAACAGGAGCCTTCAGGAGAAGAGGCTGGGCAAGAAAAGCACTGAGGTTTTCTTTTTCTTTTCCTTTTTTTTTTTTTTTCTCTTCTGCCTGAAGGGAGCGCCGCTTCCTGGGCTCCAGACAAGTGCCAGCCTGCAGTGGGAGAGAGTGAGGCCCAGCTGCCTGAAGAAGCAGCCAAGGTAAGGTTCCTGCTGCTGCTATAGGCTGTGGCTTCCAGAACTGGGGACTGGGGATTGAGGCATTGAGGCTACCCCCACCTAGGACAGGAAGGTTGATTCCATGTTCCTGAAGAAGCTATGGGCTAAGGAGTCCCATGCTCTGTCCAACCTGCCACCCTTCTCTAGGTGGATTTTGAAACAGCCCAATCCACACTGGCCTCTGGCCCCCTTACCAGGAGAGAGGCTTGTTTCTGCAGTGCCTGTATTTACTTCCTGCATGGGCTAGGCCAAGCCAGTGCTACCAGGATGCCCCTACAGGAGGCCCCTCTCATCTCACCCCTCATGTATTCATTCCACAAATATTTATGGAGCGTCCGTCTGCTGGGTCCCAGGCTCTGAGTCATGCTCTTTCACTGAGCTTGACCTGGTACAGATTCTGACTCTGAAACTCAGTGTCAGGCCAGGGTCAGGGGGCTACCTGGCTGAGTGTACTCCCTCCTCACAGGCCTCAGGCTCCTTACCTCTCCTGCAGGCTTACTGGCCACATGGGCTTCAGGGATATCAGGCTCAGTGAACTGGGGATTATAAAGTATGGGTTCCCCAAAGCTGCATGGCTAATGCAGTGCAGTCTCCCATTTGCTCTTTCCCTGGCATTACATGAGAAGGTCAGAGGTTCCTGCATTTCTGCTTAGGGTCTTCCCTGAGCTGGTTCTGATGGGAAATGGGATCAAGGAGTAGAGGACCAATTCAAAGCTCAGTGGTCCCTAGCCTGTGGGCCTGGGGGCTAACCTAGGGGGCACTGGGGCTTGTGGGCCAAGCAAGTAGCCTCTCTAGGCAGGTTTCCCTGCAATGGTCCTGGTACTAGGCTCTGGGAATTTTAGTGACAAAAGCACCAGGAAAGGGTTGGCACCAGGAGTAGACCTTTCTGGAAACTGATTTGTGTGGAAGCTTCATCCCTGAGAAGGGTAGCAGGGTCGGAGTGTGGGAACTGCATGGTCAGTCTAGTCCTCAAGAACAGATTGATTCTTTGAGTTCTCTGAGCTCTTTGAGACAGGACAGGCACAGGGTAGGTACCAACTAATGGGGTCTCCACCCAGGGCAAAGCCCACTCTGTACTATTCACTCCTGAGGATAACCTCCAATGTCTCCTATCCTGGAAGAATACATAGGACAAGGTCAGAAGGAGCCCATAAGTATTTCCTACACCTGGCTCCAGGATGAGGAAAATGACCCAGCCATGGCAGTATTTCCTTCTTCCTCTCAAAAGGTGATTCTAGCCAGGTACTGTGGTGCCTGCCTATAATCCCAGCAGCTTGGGAGGCTGAGGCAGGAGGATCATAAGTTCAAAGCTGGCCTCAGCAATAGCAAGGTGCTAGGCAACTCAGTGAGACCCTGTCTCTAAATAATACACAAAATAGGGCTAGGGATGTGGCTCAGTGGTTGAGTGCCCTTGAGTTCAATCTCCGGTACCAAAAAACAAAAAGTGACTGTAAACTTGGGAGGCCTCCAGGTACATGGAACTACACAGTGGTGGTATCCAACTGGTGGGCACAATGGCAGAGGCTCGTAAGCAGCAGGCAAACAACAAACCAGCAGGGTATTAGCTGGTGGTCTAGGAAGGAGTGGAGGGTTCTGGCCTGCTCTGTGGAAACCCCACTCAGTGCAGGGTAGCAGCCCATCCTAGAGGTCCTGGAGGGCTGTGCCTTGTGAGGACACACCCTCTACCCCCATGGGAACTCAGTCCTAGGGCCCAGAGGGAGCTAAATTGAGAAGTGGGAGATATGAGGTAAAGGAAATCTTATCTTTCCTGGGTTTTAGTCTGTTGTGCTGCTACAACAACATGAGACTGGGTAATTTATATGCAGTAGAACTTTATTTGGGTCATAGTTCTGGAGACTAGAAAATCCAAGATTGAGAAGCTCACATCTGACAAGGGCCTCATGCTGTATCATCCCATGGCAGACAATGGAAGGGCAAGAGAGTGAAGGGAGCAAGAGAGGGCCTAATTCCCCAGGTATGGTGGCCCACGCCTGTAATCCCAGCAACTCCAGAGACTGAGGCAGGAAAATCAAAGTTCAAGGCCAGTCTCAGCACTGAGTGAGGCCCTAAGCAATTTAGCCAGACTCTGTTTCAAAATAAAAAGGAGCTGCGGTGTAGCTCAGTGGTTAAGTACCCCTAGGTTCAATCTCCAGTAACCCCGCCCCCAAATAAGAGAGAGGGGCCTAACTCAATTTTGTAATAAACTTTTATGTAAAGACATTAATTCATTTGTGAGGGCAGAGCCCTCAAGACCCAAACACTTCTTGAAGATCTCACCTCTTTAACCCTGTTGCATTGGGGATTAATTTTCCAACACATGAACTTTGGGGGACACATTCAGACCACAATACTTGTCAAGATGTGGGATCCAGTCAGTGCTTTTTCTGGATACCTGACTTCCAGGCCCATGATAGGGATTGTGTGTTTATTAAGTACAAAATACTGGTGGCCAGAGGGGTGGTGGGGAAAAGTGCTGATAGATAAATGGGACAGAACCCTTGCCCCAGGGACACTTATAATCCTTTGATAGAGCAATGTAAAGGAAAGCTGAGCATGGGGTCAACCCCACCAGAAACAAGCTGAACCACAGAGCCACAATCAGTAACTGGGTGGCTTTGTCCTTCCACTCTGGGCCCCAAACTCATCACTGAAATTGTCAGCCATGATTCATCCAGTACAGATAATTTATAAAATTAAACCAATACTAGAAGATGATTCTTAACATAGACTTTATACAGATGGACCAAAGGGGGGAAAAAAAAAAAGAATGAAAAACACTTGTGGAAGAAGCTTCAATCTTCAGGTCCTAGCAGAAAATGAGTGCTCAGGGAGATACATCATGTAGTAAGACACAGGATGATGGGGTTAACAGTGTAGTCAGCAGGATGAGCCTCAGGCCTGGCGTTGCCTCTTCCTGGTGACTTGGATAAGTTACTTCATGTCTCTAGGTCTTGATTTCCTGACATGTTCAACAAAGATAATTATAATACCTATGTGATATGGTTATTGAAACAGCATTAAGTAAAACAATATGGGTGCTGCTAAGATTACTGAAGGAGCAAGGTGCCATGAGGAAAAGACCTTGTTTAAGAGAATCAGGAAAGGCTTCCTGGAGGAGGTAGCTGTAGAAGAACCCTTCCCTCAAGAAAAGCGAAGCTCTCAGAATGCTGGTAGATCTATGCCCATCCAAGCTAGGAAGAACTGCAATACCAGGTCCATTTTTCTCCTGGTAGCAAACTGTTTGCCCACTGAGTTTCTCTCAGGAATTAATTTAAAGATTTAATTCTTTTTCTAGTATTAGGGAGTGAACCCAGGCTCACTCTAACACTCATCACATCCTCAGTTTCCCCATCTTTTTTTTGAGATGGGGGTTCTAAGTTGCCCAAGCTGGCCTCAAACTTGGAATCCTCCTGCCTCAGCCTCCCGAGTAGCTGGGATTATAGACATGTGCCTGGCTACTTAAGACTATTAGACCCCCTTATGGGGGTCTGGAGTTCAAAATGTGGATACTTGGACTGGACTGCACATGATAAAGGCTGGGTATGGCCCTGGTCCCATTCCTGTTTGAACCTGGACTCTTTTGTCACATGGTATCCACAATTCCTTGAATAACCATATTCTAATGACCCCCATCTAAAGCATAAAACTTGGAGGTGCTGCATGTGGAGGGACTGGAGTTGGAGAGCACTGAGAGCTCCTTGACTACTGTGGCAAGTGACTTGGAAATGCCTAGTAATCATAAGGCTCAGTCTCAGACTTTCTTTGCTTTTCTTACCAAAAGTTTATCTGTCCTATGAATTTAGGAAAAGCAATCCCTCAGTCTAAAAAAAAAAAAAAAAGTGAAACCCAAAACATAACAGGCTTTCAAATTCTGAGCGAAATCATGTTTAAAAAAAAAAAAGTACCCTTATAACTACATAAAAGGTCACATGGGCCTCATTCCTACAAAGGAACACCCATGCTGGCCAGCATTTTCTATAAAACCTCATCATGACACATCAGGCAGTGCAGAGACCCAAGTATTTACAGAGGAACAATGATGACTACTTTTGCACACCTGTGGGTTCTCTGTGGTAACCTATTCTGCCAAAGTGGTGCCTTGATCAGCAAATCCAGGCGTCTCTGCCCTGGTCATAATCTACTTGTGCTCTGGTTTGCCCACAGCTTCAGTCCATTCAGGCCAAGTAGGTGGAAGCAGACTTTTGTCCTTCATACATACTTAGGCTGCCCAGGACCTGAGGAGGCCCCTCTGGGTGCTCAGAGAAGCAGGTGCAGAAAGTGCAGGTAGGTGGTACATTTGTTCTGGCCTCTGATCTCAGTGCAGCAGGACCCAGCTCACTCTCCCCAGGGCAAATAGCAACAAACCAGTCACCTTGGTCAAGGTCTCCTGTTGCCTGCCTGCCTGCCTGCCTGGTGAAGGGGCTCCTGAAGATTATGGCAGCAGTAGAGTTAAAACCGGGTAGACTGGTTCTGTGGTTCAGCTCCCTAGCCTGGAGCATCTCCAGCTCCATTTTCTTTCTTTCAGTTTCAAATAAGGCTCCATATGGAATTATGCAGAGGAAGGCACAGGAGTAGAGGGAGTTAGGGGACCAGTTACACCAGAGTCTCCTTGTATGGCCCAGCACAGTACCAGGTCAGCAGGAAGGAGCTCAGAGGAGGAAAGGCTACCATAAGGGAACTGGTCATCTCAGATTGCTTGCTACAGCACATTCAAGCCACAGGGAGTCCTCTGAGAATGTCTAGTCCAAATCCCATCATTTTTACAGAGGGAAACAGGCCCAGAGAAGGAAAGTAAGTACTGAGATGACACTGCTAATTTGTCGGGGCGAGGGGTGGTTCAGGACCAGGGGTTCCAATTTGTGCCCAGTTCTCTTCTACTGCCCAGGCTGCCTGTCCATCAATAGGTCCCCCACATAGGAGCAGTTAAGAACTGCTAGGTAGCTTGATGGCTTGAGAGCAGTGGCCCCATCCCTTTTCTATGT